ATTCCTGTAATCAGGAGTTGGAAACTAGTTTGTACCTCAGTTTCCCCAATTGAAACAAGGGGAGTTGTTGCACCCTAGGCATAAGGCATGTACCATGACCCAAAAGCACTTTTTAGAGGCAAAGAGGAGTTAATGAGATGCTGCTGTAGACCCAGTGCTCAGGACAGAACAGGCTAATTGTCTGCAGAGGAGGGGAGGGCAGACTGGCTGATTTTTCATGAAGTTCTGATGCAAAAGGGGAAGCTGGATACCCTGAAGTGCTTGACCGTTACAGAGAAGCCTTGCAGGCCTTCCAGTTTTGTGGGAGCAAAGCAATGAACCAGGAGACTTCAACTCCGCACAGAATTATAGAGCCAACGACCAAGCCTGCCCAGAAAACTAGGGCAGGGTTCTCTCTGTCAGATGCAAATCCAGCTGGAGAGAAGTTCGTGGTGCGTAAAGATACGGCAGTGGCGCTCATTGAGCTCTGTAGCTGTTTTCCCATTCAGACTCTTTTTCATGTTTTCACTGCTACTTTTCCTTTAATATTCAAAAGCTTGGGAAGCAGAGCACGAACACAACTCAGGAGTTCTCTGCAGAGACTGTGCCAACAAAGGAACCCTCTACCTTTACTCTGTGTAGTTTCCGTCCGGGCTGAAGGATGTCTCGTTGTTCAGTGGCCCGAGTCAACGATACAGCAGTGTTCAGCATGCAGGGTGTCGGCTGTCTGCCATTTACTCTGGAATAGATACGAGAGCAAGTTGGTGGGCAACTTTCCACAAGTGCTTCCATTTTACAAGATCTGTGGGAGGAATTGCTGAGACAAATTAGCATCTACTTGTACGATGCTTAACGCCCAGCAGCACCAGACTTGCTCATCTAGACCAACCCAAGAAGGTTTAGCGCTGATATTTGTAGCAATTAATAACATCGCAGATAATTCATCTTCCCTGTCTGCATCATGGTTGTTATTACGCTGCACCTGCCTACTGGCTGAAACGGTATCTGTTCAGCACTGGATCCTGCCCAGCTTGTCACCATGGTTGGGCTTCTGCTGCCGTCACTCTGCTCTCTGCGAAAGAGGAGTGGGAAGAAAAGTCTGGGAGCTGTGAGCCTGTTCCCCTCTCATCACTTGAAGAAGACAGTTGATTGCCAGTAGGACAGGAGCTATGGGGGCACGGCATTCAGGCCCTACTCCACAGCACAGGTGTCCAGGTGGGTCTTGAATATCTTCTCTGGAGATATTCAAGTGTACAAGGTCCTGTGCAGCCTGCTGTAGGTGACCCTGCTTTGGCAGGGGGGTTGGACTGGGTGACCCACAGAGGTCCCTTCCAACCCCCACCATGCTGGGATTCTGTGATTCTGTTTTCTGGAGACTGCTCAGCAAGGAGCCTGCCACAGCTCAGGTGTCAGAGGGTAGCTGGTGCTGGAAAAAGAGAAAAGTAGGGAAACAGCTGGTCTCCCCGACAACCATGTGTATGAAGCACAGAGGGTAATGGTCGTCGGGAATGGATGAAAAGCAGCGTGGGGACTGGAGGAGAAGAAAGCACGCTGAACTGAAACACTTCTGCTTTAGCAGACTATATTTGGATTTCATGTAATTGTCACTGCTTCTCTCTGTAATTCTCTTCTTGTTTAAAAAAAGTTTTTAAGCTAACCAAATACATATTTCCTTGTTTCGCTTAACGAAAATAACCTCAGTTATAATGAGCAAGCATCTGCTTTCCCTCTGTCCACTGACCTGGCTAATGTTGAGAGGCCTGGTTCAAATGTTTGTACATGGTGAAACCAAGCAAAAAAATAATAATGCACAACTGTTGCTTCCTTACAATTCTGAATGAATTAACTTTTCTGTTGTATCCATTGGATACCCGCTGTGTATTAAACCTAGTGCTTAACAATGTTGTCTTCCTTTGGTCCGTGAATGTGGTTTATTTAGGTATATTACTAGTCCATTTGCTGTCATAGATTTCATTAAAAAAGAAAGGAACTGCCATGTGTTGATGATGCAGTTCAGTGGCTTTTCCTTTCGTCACTCCAAGGGGTACAATACTGTTTGTCAATTGAAAAGAGGTGTGGAGGAAGAAAGTATTGTTATGAAGTGATGTGAGAGGAGAAAACAAAATCAGAACAATATTTGACCGTACAGCTTGCCTCTGAACTCTTAACGAATCTGTGGCTTGCATTCCACAGCCTCAGCTCTGTGAGCGGGCAGAAGCTGAGTACTTAAGAAAAGTCTCTAGCTTAAAACAGTCGATCTGCTTTAAGGCCAGCATGACCTTCTTCTTAAGACCCTGGTCCCGCAAGGGTTCAACTGCCAGTTAATGCAGTGGTCGATGTGAAGTCTCTGAAGGATTAGACTCTAGGTGGCTGAAGGAGGAGGAGGAGGAATCATGTGAAACTGAACTGCCTCTAGGAAGCTGAAAACGTACCACATTTTAAGAGTACAGAGAGCTACCTTAGGCATCCAGCAGCATGAAATTCCTAGCTGGAATGCCGTAAGAATCTAGATTGTCTACTCAGAAACTTGTTAGTAGAGGCTTTCTGGAACTAAGCCTAATTTCAGCCAGTCATTTAGGTTAAAACCCTTGAGACAGAGGTAAGCTCTGATCTCTATAAGACAGGTTTCAAAGTTGTAAGAAAAGATAAAAAGCGTAACATGCAGCAAATTATTCTAATCACAAAGACAGCGAGAATACATTCCTTAGGACAGATTATTCTAGAATATCAAAATGTTTCTACTTTCAACTGGGTAATATTATTACTACTCAAATTGCCTTCATTAAGCTTGAACAGTTACACCTCTCTGCAAAGAACAGAAAGACACTACCCACCTTTTCTTTCTGTAGGCAGAGCCTGATGTTACCGTTCTGAGCTTCCCGCTGTTCTGAAAGGCTTCCTTTGCAACTCGAGGAACAGAACAATTTTTCAGGCCGTTGAATGCAGGCAGAGAGCACCAGGGCCATCTCACACGCTGACTCTGTGTGTGAGGTCTGACAAGCACTGATGCCATCTATGAGGTGTCCGAGGGAGGATTTCTGTAGGTTTTGCATTTACCTAGAATCAAAAAAAAGAAAGCGAAAGGATTTGAATGATTGTTGGAAACTTAGACAACAATTTGTTAACATTTCAACACAGCTGCCTCAGATACACCATTTAAGTGACCTGTGCAGCCAGGTGCTTTCCTGGAATTAGTGGGTGGCCACCGACTCACTTAAAAGAGACTAAAATAATCAAGAACATCCCACTTGCGGTCAAAGCAATACCAAGGAATCAGCTGCTTCTCAGGTGCTGGAGGATAAATTTGCAAAGAAGGTTATTTTTTTCTTTCCAAATTTTTACTGGAAAAGAAAGTAACAAAAGCAGCGAGATACATCTATGCTAAAACTGAAAAGAGTTTAAAGAAAAAGACCACCAGTTTCAGAACTTCTGCAGGCCTGTGGTGAGATTCATCTGCCCTAAACAGAGAAGCAGAGTGTAGAAGTGTGCATCTAAGCTAGTCTTCCTGGCTTTTTTTTTATCGTTAGCAAAAGATAAAGACACATCTAGGGTGCACTTCAGCTGCTTCCAGATGAGGAGGACCATTCCCTAGACGTGCCTGCTTCCCTCCGCTGCTGTCAGGGAGTCTGACAACCTCGCTCAGACCAGAACCTCTTCACTGCAGGCTTCTGAAGCTAGATCAAATCCCACCCCAGCGGCCTCCTGCCGAAGTCACGCCGGACATTTTACAAGCTCCGTTTGCATTAATGGAGCTGTCTAAACGCGCTGGGCCAGGCACCACCTCTGCATTTCTCCCTAGGGGATGGAAATCAACAGATGACACGACCAGACTGGCGAGACCGGAGCCAACGCGCTGCGGCATCCCGCCCGGCCTCCGCTCGCCCCCTCGCCTTTGCACAGCAGGCCTCCGCGAGACCCCTTCCATGGCTCACGCGGGCATTCGGCGGCTTCGCC